AGAAGTGCATGGAATGGCAGAAAATGACTCCATTGAATGCAGAGGCTGGTTGGTGAAAAAGGGCTGCAAATAACTACAGCTCCAATTTTTTGTACAAAAAAAACTTAACGCAATCAATTGTTAGGGGCAAAATTAAGGATCCCCAGTATGAAAATAACCAGGTGGGCACAGCTAATGTGGTTGCAAAATGAGATGAACCTACATGAACTTTTTTTTTTTGGCTCATGAGAATATAAAATCATAATTGGACATTGCAGTCTTCAGTGTGATTTACATAGATTTGTGGGCAGGTATGAAGAGTGACTAGACAGTGGTTCAAATATATGACTCCATGGAAGTCTGAGTTTGCCCCCAGGGGCACCAAAGCTATAATTAGGAGTCGCACAAGGTGTGGGACTGTTTACACTGGAGCATAGACTAAGATAATTTTCAAGGATGTGTAATAACTTCTATTAAGGGTTTTATAGATTACATAGTAAAAGGCTATTGTGCCATTTTAAAGTAAAATCAGCTAAGTATTCAAAGTAGTTCACACAGTTACAGGGAGAGAATAGGGCATTGGGACTAGTTTTTGGATTTTTGTTATGGCTGGTGTGCAGATGTAATAACATCTGCAGCATTCTGATTTCAGAAGGCCTTGGATAAAGCTGCTACCTGTGCTGAAAACACCTGGGTCTTGATTCAAAGATAACAGTGGATAGTATTTAGGGGAGTGATCTTTGGCTTGCGAGCAGTGCACAGTGAATCATCCAGTTGTAAGATAGTTATGGCTGTGAATATGCCTAATTGCCTAATGTTTGTTTTGGAATCTAGTTTGGATAATGAAAGTCCAAAATGCAGTATAAATTGGGCATATTCACAGATGATATTAAACAATCAGATGGACTTGGATAGAGAGAACTAGCATTTTGAAAATTGAAGTATCCTCTTGAGTTTGACTTCTAATTCTGGCTGTTCTGAACCACATGTCTGCTTGCCCTTGACTGAAATCTGAAGTATTAAAAACAGAAAAAGGTGAAATCCTCAGGATGTCTGACAGTATTTACAAAGACCTATCGTCAGAGTTCCAGGTTATTGAATTGAAATGTTGACTGAGTTTCTCCTCGAATGCTGCCAAATCAGCTAAGCTTTTCCGGTTGTCTAAATTGATTTCTAGTATCTGAGGAAGGGTCACCAGGCCTGAAACGTTAATTCTGATTTCTCTTCACAGATGCTGTGGGGCCTGCTGAGCTTTTCCAGCAACTTCTTTTTCTTTTCCCTGATTTACAGCATTCACAGTTCTTTTGGGATTTTTTTTCCTAGTGTCTACATTTTACTTTAATTGAAGCATGCACTGTTGTACTCTGGTCAGCTTAAGGATCGCTGCATTTTATTTAATGTACATGAATGACCTTAACTTGTTTATATAGGATATAGTCTCAAAATTTACAGATTTTATGAAACTCAAACATAGTTTAATAAGCATGAATAGTAATTCTTTAGGAGCACATAGACGAACAGATGAAATGGGCAAATGCAATTAAAGGCAGCTAGTTCTATGGTTTGACCAGGCAAATGCAGGAAGACAAGGTGAACCAAATGGTACGGTCTGCAGTCGAGTCCAGAGTCCAGCTAGCGGAGGTACACAAAGCTTTGAAGTTGACAGGATAAATTGAGAATACTGTTTCAAATGTTTGCTGGATCCTTGGCTTTATAAATGGAGACAAACAGTGAAGAAGCAAGCCTGTTCTGCTAAAGCGTGATAAATAATTTCTTCGTCTGGAGGAAACAGCTCTGAAGAAAGTCACTGGCCCCGAAATGCCAAGTCTACTTTCCCTCTATGGATACTGCCAGATTGGCCATCCTCCCCCAGCAATTTCTGTTTTTGTTTCAGATTCCCGTTTTTGTTTCAGATTCCCAGCATTCACAGTTCTTTGTTTTTCATTCTGTGGTTTTATGTAGTGCCTTCAGCCTACACGTCCTAAGTCACTTCACAGAAGTGTTCTCATATGGAATTTGACAACAGCCTACTTAAGAAACAGAAGCAGGGTGGGCTCTTTGAGTGTATTCTGCCATTCGGTAAGATTAAATCTGTCACTAGCATAATTCCAATATTACTTGATTTTCATCTGAGGTCTCAGCACTGATCCTAGTGTTAATCTTAGTTTTGATCTGCTGACCTGAAAATGAGCCATTGTTCCAATTCTACTCTCTTAGCCATTAAGCAGTTCTCAACGGCCCAAAATGTTGTTCAACAAATTGGACCCTACATCAGATTTGCAGTGCCTCCAACTAATGGCAGTAGAGCACTTAGAATGTCTTAACATGACCATGTTGCAGAGTCAATACACACTTAAAGATGGAAAATTATATCTGACAAATCCATTGCCATTTTCTGAAATTGAAACTAGAAACCTTAAGAGGTAGCCAATGGATGTGGTATATTGGAATTTCAAGCAGTGTTAAATAAAGTGTCACCTAAAGCATGTTACACAAATTGAGAGCTCATGAAGTGCAGAAGTAACACATTGATGCCAGGCAATGACCATCTCAGGAGTGAAAATAAACTGTCTCCTGGTGACAATTAATTAGCTGACCACCATTGAATCCTACACTGTCCATATTGTGGGGGTTACCATTGGCCAGAAATTGAACTGTACCTGCCATATAGATAGTGTGGCTACAAGAACAGGTCAGAAATTGTGAATTCTGCGCAATTACCTCTCCTCTGGACTACCCCCAAACTTGACCAAGTTAGAAGGCACACGTTATGGAATAGAATACTGCCCATTTATCTGAATGGGTACAGTTCCAATAATATTCAAGAATTTCTCCTCCATACAGGACAGAGCAGCCTGTTTGATTGGCACTTCATCAATCAAATTCAACATTTATCCCTTAACTACTGATGGACAGTGGCAACAGTGTGTGTACCGTGTGTGTGCCCTGCAGCAGCTCCCACAGGCTCTTTTGACACCCCTTTCCAAAGCCAAAACCTCTACCACCCAGCTGGGCAAGAGCAGTAGGTACATGAAAACATCACCACTTGGTAGTTTCCCTTTTAATCATGATTTGAAACTGTATTGCTATTCCTTCACTTCTTCTGGGTCAAAATTCTGGAACTCCTTTCCGAACAGCACTTTGGGTGGAGCTACGCTACATGGATTGCAGCAATTCAATAAGGCACCTCACCACTGCCTTTGAGAACAATTGGAAATGGGCAATGAGTGCTGGCCTACCATTGACTCCCATGTTCCACAAATACATTCATTTTCAGAAAAAATTAGTATTTTTCCTGTCAAAAATGTCAAACTGACTACCTATGGTGTCTTTTTCCTGCACAGTGGAGTTAACATTTGCAAACCTCAAAAGCCATTTAGTGAGATCATAGTTGATCTGATGGCAATGTCAAATCTGCATTCCTGCCTACCCTGATAACCTTACACCCCCTTGCCTTAAAAATTCAAAGACTCCACATCACCATCTTTTGAGGAAGAGAGTTGCAAAGCATCACAACCCTCTGTGAAAGAATTTTGCCCTGCCTCTGACTTAATTTTTTAAACAGTAACTCCTAATCCTTGGTTCTTCTATAAGAGGAAACATCCTCTCCTCAGCTGACCCATCAAGGGCCAGTGGGATCTTGTATGTATCATTCCAGTCACCTCTTGCTTTTCTAAATTCTAGCAGATATAAACATAGTCAGTCCAGCCTTTTCTCATTAGACAAACCAGTATGTTTCAGATATTAATTTAGTAAACCTTCTCTGAACTATTTCCAACACATTTACATCCTTCCTTAAATAAAGTGACCTATATTGTGTGCTGTGCTCCAGATGTGGTCTCACCAGTGCCCCTTATAACTGAAACATAACCTCATAACCTGACAATATTCTATTACATTTTCTAATTGCTGTGCTTGCTCACTAACCTTTTGTAATTCATGTACTGGGACATACAGAATCCTCTGCGTCCCCAAGCTCTGCAGTCTCTCACCATTTAGATAATATGCTTCTAGCATATGAACTATGCATTCTTTAAATGCCATATAAAAACATCCTTAGCCATTTAAAAATACCTCTGCAAGGGTAATAATAGACAATGTTCAAGCCTGTTTAATTATTTTCATCATTTCAAAGGGTATGGACCAAGTCATATCTTTTAAATCACTTTTCTTCAGTGCAAGGTTTTCAAATTGATGAAGTGCCAAATATTCTGGCAGCTAATGGGTAAATGGTGTTTACAAATTTGAATACTGAGTGTATTCGTATTGCAACATGTTAAGCGTGCACATACTGTTTGTGCAAATAACTTTTCTTTATTATAGTTTAGTCAAATTATTGAGTATACATAAAGGCCATTTGACCTTATTTGTCCTCCCAATACTTTAGCAAGGCTGCCTTTAATGCTCAGCAGTATTCCAAAGGCTGAAGTTTAACTGTCTTGTCTGGGTAATGTTTTAGGACTATTTATCACTGAATGACATACCATTTAAATGTAATTTCACTACAATCATGTTTTTTTTTTTGGTTAACGTTATGACCAAATTTGTATATAGTACTTCAAGTATGGTCTGGCTGGTGTATTACTGTAGAGGCACTGTGATTTTATGATTTTAATTTAATTGTTGTGCCATTGTGCAAAATCTACTTTGAATCCCAGTTTATTTTCCATGTCTCCATGATAATACAGTTCCATTCATTATGTGTTTCTGAAGTCTTCTGAACTAGATATAATAGTTACAATATTTAATTTTCTATTTGCCTGGTTGCATATCATTCTCAATGCTTCTGCAGGTATTTGGCTACATTTTTGTATTTACTCCAATTGAGAATAAAATTGACATGGTTTCATTTGATATTCATAAGCTTATCGTAAGAGAGTGCAATAAATATTTGTCAGCCTTACCCACCTATTGGCAGTGGGTATAGAAAATGCCAAATACAGATTTGTTTCACTGTTGTCTTTAGCTTACTTTGAAGATTTTATAAATCAAATTACCAATTATTTTTGATGTCTTAACAGCTGTCCAATGGGGAGAAGATGGTCGTCCTTTCAATTATCTTTTCTACACAGGAAAGCAGTCCTACTATTCACTTATACATGTAAGTGTATAATAATTCAAATGGAATGACAGTAAGCGAATATATCTTTAAATTGCTGTTTACACATTTTTTACAAATGTTATCTTACAAAATGAAATAGAATTTGAAAACAGAAGAGCACATGTATGTGCACCCAACTATTGTGCTGGTTCTATTTTAACAAAAAAAAATTCAAAGTGGGTGTCACTGGCTAGGCCAGCATTTATTGCCTATCCCTATTTGCTTAGAGGGCATTTAAGAGGCAATCACATTACTATGGGTTTGGAATTGTATGTAGGCCAGACCAGGTAAGGATAGAAGTTATCTTCCCTAAATGACAGTGAACCAGATGGGCTTTTCTGACAATCAACAGTAGTTGCATGGTCATCGCTAGACTCTTGATTTCAGACTGTTTTTAACATATTGAATTCAAATTCTATATCTGCTGTGATGAGATTTGAACCTAGGTCCCCAGAACATTATCTGAGTTAATCTAGAATTGAATACTCAATTTCTCCCCATCTATAAATTAAAGCTCATTGAAAATTCTGCTTCTCAATATCCTGTCCTGCACTACATGCCATTCATTATAATTTAAAGTTTACGCTCATCAAATCAAATGTCACATTGAAATCTAATGCAAGTGCATACTTTGGTCAGCAAATGTTACAGTTGTGCTGTTTTTATCACTTTATGCTATTGTGATGTCTTGCTCAGCTTCTTTTAACTTTTTTAGATGAATTAAATTTCACTGACTTCTTGTCACAGCTTTGCTTGTTAACTCCACTACAGTACTCTTAACCATTTTCTCATTTCCTCCCGCCCTCCACCATACATCCCCAATGTGGTGTTAGCATAACTAAATGTTAAATGAATTGGAGTAAGTTAATGATGAACTCCTTTGTTTTTAAACAAACTTCAAATCATAGATTTAAGCTATGAAATTAATTTCAGATAATTAAATCTGTTATGTATGTGTAAGTATCAAATTTCAAATGCCTTTGAATGTTAAGACATTGAAACACTGCATGTACTTGAAAAGTGAATTCTATTGAAATTGCAAGTTTCATTGTGTACTGCAGTTCTGGGCTGGATTGAGTGGTTTGGATGAAATCTTTGAACATTGAAAGTAATTTGTGCTTGTTTTGTTGTTGCTGTCCCGCATATTGGCATAAACGCAGTTGCTAAAATTATTTGTATTCAAATTTTTGTTAAATGTCTTCTGGTTTAAATTGTCATCCAATTAACTAAACCATCAAATGGTAACAATATAACAAGGTGACATACGTAGTGAACCATCTTTGAGTCACTGGATTTACTTGAATTGCTTAAGTTAAGTGCACTGTATTATTCATGTGCCTGTTTAAGCCTTGAGATCAGTGTATCTCTCGAAGCTGTGTTATTTGTGTATGTTTGCATTTTTTGCTCATGAAAACTTAAATTTGGTTTAAATACATGAGGTAAATAGAACATGATAGACATTTTAGTCTGTATTTCTTTTTGGGTAGGTGGGGGGATATTAGGTTTGCAAACTGCTTGTAATTATTACTTTTGCTATAGAATCTGCTTGTTTCGTAGTACATTTCCTGTTGGTGAGCTGTGATAAAACCAAGTTGGCTATTGTTTTTCTTACCACACCATTCCCAGTATGTGTTAGCAATGCTTAACATTTAGTTTCATTTAGTTTTTGCCAGGGTTTTTATTTTGAGAAGTTGCATAATTCTTCAGCGGAATTATGCAGTTTGGTCATCGTCTTGTTGTATTTGCCTCTCCCATAGTCCTTTCTGTCTCTTTCTCCCTTCTCCCAGTAAAATTTTAATATTTTACATCTCCACCTGTATGTAAATACAATAGAAGAGGGAATAGAAGCAACTATGATGCATTTATTTAGTTCATTCACATGATATTTGTAAAGCAAAATCTATCGAAATAACATGTAAGTGCATTATAACCCATGAAAAATTGATGAAGTAAACAAATTTTATATACTTCTTTGCTCTTTTGATCGCATGTGTGAATTCCAAACCCAGAATTCTAACACATCCTGGTTCACATCTTTAAACTGTGTACTTTACCTCTGTAAATCTGCAAATAGACTTGCAATAAAAACAAAACATCTACACCTTGTAGCTTTCTTAAAATAAATCTTTTGTGTTTTGTATCACAAATTAAATATACCTTCTGCTCCTTAATCAAAATATCAAATTTTGCCCCATCTCATATGGTACTATTTTTATTATCAAACAGAAATATAATGAAAATCTATAGAGATCTAAAATTTAGAAAAGATGTACTAAGTGAATTTCTCTTGATTTGAAATTCTTCGCATTCTAAACTGAGAGCAAACTCTTTGATTGAATTATCACTTCACATTTCACCCAAGATGACACATGACTAATACACTTTCCGAAACTCTGATTAGACAACTGGCAATGTTAGGAACAGGAGGAGGTCATTTAATTCCTTGAGCCTGTTCCATCATTCGGTAAGGCCATGAATAATCAGTGACCTATCTCCATAAATCTGCCTTTGTCCTACGTTCCTTTTTAATATCTTTGATTAACAAATATCTACCAATCTCAGATATAAAATTAACAATTGACCTAGTATCAAATGGCAGGAAGTGATTCAATCTACTGTTACCCTTTCCATTCAAAAGTATTTCTTAACCACTCCTAGAAGACCTAGCTCTAGTTTTAGGCTATGCCCTTGTCCTAAATTCCCAACCAGCAGCAAACAATTATTTCTATAAATCTGTCAGATAGTGATATGTCCCTGCTGAATAATGTCATAACTCCGTCTTATAAATTCTAGGGAAAAAGCTGGGGTTGAGTAACCTCTCCTAATAATTTATTTAATTTTACCCAAATAATATCAGACTGTATGTGGCAATCCCACCAAGACCGGTGTGCCGTTCCTAAGCTGTGCTCAGAATTCCTCTCAGAACCTAACTTTCGTTTGATTATACCCATGCATAGTTGCAGTATATGAACATACAGTAGAGTTAGATTACTTGGCTCCTTGAGCCTGCTCTGCCATTCACTAAGATCATGGCTGATCTGTTTGTGATTTTGTGCTACACATTAAGGATTACCCCTGATAATATTTGCATCTATTTTACGCAAGTTTCTATCTACCTCAGCCTTAAAAATATTCAATGAACCCAGCCCCACTTGAGGCAGTGTTCCAAAGTTGCACAACACTCAAAAAGATAAACTTTGCATCATTTCTATCCTTAAAGGGGCAACTCCTAATTTTAAAAGGGCCCTTAGTTCTGAATTCTTTCATAACATCCTTTTAATTTTATGTTAAGTTCCTTTCATAACAAAAGGTAGCATACTCCATCTGCCAGATTTTTGTGCTTTCACACAATCTATTTTCTTTTTATTCATTCATTCAGGGAGGTGTGGGCTTCGCTGGCTGCGCAAGCCTTCATTGTCCAGCCTTCATTGCCCTTCAGAACATAGTAGTAAGCTGCTGCTTTGAACCTCTTCAGTCTTTTTGCTGTAGGTATACCTACAGTACTACTGGGGAGAGAGTTCCAGAATTTTGACCCTGCAAAAGTGTATGAATGTCAAAATAGTCTCGAGTCAGGATGGCAAGTGATTTGGTGGGTGGTATTCCCATTTATATGCTGCCCGTGTTCTTCTAGATTTTAATACCAACAGGTTTGGAAAGTACTAAGGAGTCTTGGTAAATTCCTGCAGTGCATCTTGTAGATGATGCACAACAGCAGCATGTGCTAGTGGTGGAGGGACTAAATCGCATCCCATCCTCAAACAATCATGTGACTGCTTTACCCTGAAAGGTTGGGTTGTTGAAACTGCAGTCATTCATGCAAGTGTGGAATATTCCATGACAATATTGCCTTGGAGAATGTGCTTTGGGACTCAGGAGGTGAGTTAATCACTGCAGGATTCCCAGGCTTTGACCTGCTCTTGCAACCACTGTTAATAAAGGTAGTCTAGTTCAACTTCTGGTCAATTAGTAACCCATGTTGATAGAATGTTGATAGAAGGGGATCAGGTAGTTGTAATGCCGATGAATGTTAAGAGACAATTCTTTCGTTGAAGATGGTCACTGCCTGACATTTGTGTGGCATAAGTGATGCTTGTCATTTGTCAGCCCAAGCCTCGATTATTATCTTGCTGCATATCTGCTATCAATCACCTGGTGTCTTCTTCATAACGTACTTCCCTACCTGGTGTCACTGCAAATTCAGTCTCTATGCTTTTATCATTATCTCTATAGCCGCAGACCCATTTGATTTAAATTGCAGCTCTGCTTTTTGAAGAATTTTTGCTTGAGGTTCCCTTGACACCTTTTCATAAATGGTATTCCATGACTCTCTTGTCTGCATGTCCTCTAAAAAGCAAATGGTGGGATTAAATGTCCAAAAGGTCTACAAGTAATTGAAAATTTTGACGCATTGCTATGGCAATGTCCTCTAAATTCAAAAAAATGCTTCGGAATATTATAGTTAGGGCATCTGTACTGTTTTCACTAGTTCCCTTTACCTAGGGGATCAACAATGTATAGTTGAAAAAGTCATACTTTGGCTAGTATGTGTGCTGTCTTTCAGATCTCTTTCCTGTCTATATTTTGTGTTAAGGTTCTCTTGCTGTCACCTTTTTGCTCTGCTTTTTGTGTCACTCACTTTCTTCTTTTATGTCTCTTGCTCCCTTGCATGCTCTTTCTCTTACATATTTTCTTTTGCTCACTTCCTAATATTTATAAGTTGCCAATGAATAGGTAAACAAACCTGTTTATCCAAGGTTATGTTATGTAGAGTTTAACATTGATCCAGTGTAAGGATGATGTTTATAACAACTTTAATTATATATCCTGTCTTCCAATCTGAGAGATTCTTCCAAAAGTCATCTATGCATTTTGATGTAGAATGTGGAAATCCTTCCTTTAAATTATCAGACTATAACCTGTTGTTATCTATTTTGATGTATGTTTAACATTTTGAAATATCACATCCATAATTTCTAATTGTCCAATTGCTAGCAGGAGTT